GTGTGTGTGTGTGTGTGTGTGTGTGTTTGCAGGTTTAAGACGTTCCCCTGTGCAGCTGTGGAGGTGAAAAATGAGCCGATCCTGGGCTTCAAAGAGGGCAGCCATGAGAGGGCGGAGCTGCTGAAGGTCTGAGCTCACTCTGCTCCTCCTCACCCTCCCTCCTTCTTCTCACTCCCTCGTCCCTCCCTCGCCCCCTCCCTCACCCCTCTCACTCCTTACTCCCTGCTGTGTGTCTGCAGGCCTTGGCGAGCCTGAAGGGGAGGACGGAGGAGATCCCGTGTGTGGTGGGAGACGAGCACGTGTGGACCAAAGACATCAGATACCAGCTCTCTGTGAGGAAACGCTGGTCGTTCAGTCTCGTTTACCTTTAGCGCACACTGAGGTGTCACAGCTCTCTCTCCTTTCCTCTTCCAGCCCTTCAATCACTCGCACAAGGTGGCGAAGTTCTGCTACGCTGACAAGGTGAGCTCATCGCAGGTGCAGCGTGACGGGACTCCTGCCGTCCAATCGTGAAGCGTCCGTGCTCTCGGGGCAGAAACCCTGGTTGTCAGTGTGTTTTGGTCATGTCCTCTCTGTGTCCCGTGCAGGAGCTCATCAACAAAGCCATCGTGGCGTCTGTGGCGGCGAGGAAGGAGTGGGACCTGAAGCCCGTCGAGGACCGAGCTCAGATCCTCTTCAAAGCCGCCGACGTCATCAGCGGACCCAGGAGAGCCGAGATCCTGGCCAAGACCATGATCGGACAGGTACGGTAGAGCCGGGGGGCGGGGACAGATTAACGAGGGGCGTGTCCTTACAGTTGTTTCCCTTGTTGTCTCGTTTGTGGGCGTTCAGGGGAAGACGGTGGTGCAGGCGGAGATCGACGCTGCCGCGGAGCTCATCGACTTCTTCAGGTTTAATTGCAAACACGCCATCGAGCTGCAGGGGCAGCAGCCGCTGGACGCGGAGGGAAGCGCCAACACGCTGCTGTACCGAGGCCTGGAGGTAAAAATCAGGTCACATCGTGACTTCCTCACGTAGGAGACAAATACGCTGACATCAGCAGGCGATTGATGAATTCACAGCTCGACCGTCAGCTGTTTCTGTCACATGCTCACGCTGTGGTGGCGTTTGTTTGGACCTGCTCGTTAAAGCCACGTGTTCAGTGTGACTCGAGAAGAAGCGCCGTGTGTACGAAGGAGAGGAGAGTTAGCTCTAGCAACAACAGAAACACATTTTACTCTGCACAACATGACATCACTTCCTGTTGTCGCCATAAGTGGAAACGCAATGATTTTGTGTAGTCCAGCGCTGGGCCTGCTGTGAAGCGCTGGGCCTGCTGTGAAGCGCTGGGCCTGCTGTGAAGCGTTGGACCTGCTGTGAAGCGCTGGGCCTGCTGTGA